AGCTTGCCTCAGGTTTTCCTTATGTTTTCGATCGGAAATCGAAGTTTAACTCATGGAAAAGAGGGGCCTCGTTCCTTATTTAGGGTTCCTTAGGTCAACGCCCCGACTGTAGACACGGAAGCGCAGCGAGAACTCGGAGAGTGAGGGAATCTGTGGCCGCATCGAACGTTTCGAACGAGCATGCGGTCGAGACCTGGAGGCGGAGCGAGGCGCATCGGAGGGAGGGCGAGGGCGAAGCAGAAGCTTGCGGCGAACGAGAGCAAGCAGGGATGCACGTGCCACAGCGTGAGCGATGCGAGGCACTGCACAGCCGAGGCCTGGCTCCGTCGTTTCTTCATCCCCCGTCGTATCACTGCGCCCTCCTTGCTGCCCTTCTCCCGTAGCACTGCGCCCTCCTTGCTGCCCTTTTCCCCTGCAGTCAAGACGCGGAAGTGCAGCCGGGCCAAGGTCTGAGAGCGAGGTCGGGTCGGGGAGGGCGCCCCGGAGCTCTGCCGTGCCTGCTGGCTGCTCCCGCTGCTCCCGGAGAGGACCCCCCCCCGGGATGCCCTGCCAGTCCTGGCCGACGGAGGGCCGTCTCGTTCTCGAGGGAGGTGCTGCTGGCCCTCTTGGCATCGCTTGGACGTGTGCGCGTTTCCTTCGGCGAGGGCCATCGAGGAGCCCCCTGGATCATTTCGCGAGAAAGCCCCCCCGCGCGAGGCCGAGCAACAGAAGCACAGGGCATGGACGTCCGAGCGGTGGCGAGGCCCAGGTCCGCCTGCAGGCACCGTGTCCTGGGCTCCTCCTCCTCCTCCTCCTCCTCCTCCTCCTCCTCCTCCTCCTCCTCCCGTCCAGGTCAGAGGCCTCCTCGGGGCCGCGGCTCGCCGTGGTCGGACAGATATCCTTCGCTCCGCACTCGGCGCTCCTCGCTGCAGCGCGGCGACCGCAGCTTCTCTCTCGAAGGCCTCGCCCCGTGGCCCGTCTCTGCAGCTGCTCGGGCTCCCATGCAGAGAGATTTCGTCCCTTTCCCCTTTGTCTCCTCCCGAGGTATCGCTCTGCTCCTTCCGAGGCCCTCCTCGCTCATCCTACCCGTGTCATCCGCCTCCGTGGCTTCTTCGTTCTTGCTCTGTCCCGGAGCGCCTCTCACTGCCCCCGAGCGCCACGACCCCCCGAGCAGCCCAACTCGGCACTCCCAGCTCACTGCCCCCCCCCCTGTGCCACGAACGCCCCAGCAGCCCAGCTCGGTACTCCCAGACGTCCTCCCCATGAGCTTCGCAGGCTCGTTGGCGCCATCGCCCCCAGCCGGCTGCTCTTCACGACGGGTCTCTTTGCCGGAGATGCCCCGCGCCACCCCCCCCCTGTCCGAGCCCGTCGTCTCCCTTCCCCCTCTGCGCCCGTCGCTTCCCGCTCCGCCCTCCTCGCTCGTTTTTCCCCCTCCCCTTCCGTCCCCGCAGCCGCTCGGCTCGGGCCCCGCTGCCCCCCTGCCCGGGGGGCTCGAGCATGGCGCCGGCCCCCCCGCGCGGCGCCGGCGCCGCGCGGGAGCCGCGGGCGCGAGCCCGCTCGAGGACCTCGAGCGGGCTCTCGGAGGACCGTCGTCGTCGTCGTCGTCGTCGTCGTCGTCGTCGTCGTCGTCGTCGTCGTCGTCGTCGTCGTCGTCGTCGTCGGCATCGCCGCGGCGGCTGGAGGACGCCGACGGCGCCCGGGGCGGCGGGGGCGCCCTGCGGCGCGGGGGCTCGCGCTCGCCCCTGCTCGTGGCCGGCGGCCCGGAGGCCCTGGAGGTGCGGCCCCCACCGCGGCAGCTGCCGGCCGCGGTGCGCCCCCGCTCGGCGGCGGAAAGGTGGGGCCTCCGACCAAGCAGTGGCGGAGCGTCCCGGGTCGCCTATAGCCCCACCAAACAATGTTCTAAGAACCTTTTGCGGTATGCACGAAATGTTCTTAGAGCATTTCTGGCAGGGTCTGTCTTGTTTTAACACATCGGGCTTATGTTCTAAGAACCTGGTTTTTGATCTTAGAACATTTTGGGGTTCTAAGAACATTTCGTGGTAGGACTATAGGAATGCCGGGACGGTCGGTCCCTGCTCAACTCCGAGGGTCGGGGCGATGGGAACGGTTCAGAGGCCGCCCAGATGGCGTTCGGCGCCGGCGTGGCGTGGTGGCTTCCCCACGCCACGGCGGGGTCTTCGCGAGGACGAGCCGGGGCCGCGCGGGGCAGGTGCTTGAGAAATTCCAACGCTGTCGTGCCGCAGGTGGGGTGGTGTCGTCTTGTTTCTGGTCCAAGGTGGGGTCGGAGGAGGATCGCGCCGCAGTGCTGCTGCATCGGCGATGCGGCTCGATGCGGAGCCCGATTCTCTCGACGCCGACATCGCCGACGCGTCGCCGACGTCGGCGACGCATCGCCGATGCATTGGCGATGCGGCACGATGCCCAGCAGCAGCTCCTGCTCCTTTTTTGAGCGGGGCCCGCCGTGCCCACGCCGCCGCGGGCGCCCGGCCCGCGGAAGACGCGACGCCGCCGCCCGCCCCAAAAAGCAGCGGCCGCCGCCGGCTCTGGATAGCCTGCGCTGCGGGGCCCCGCGCCCCCTGCGGTCCGGCAGAGGGAAGCAATCAGTGAGCACCCCCCCTGCCCCCCAGACTCAAAGCTGGCACGCGGGGGGGGGAGACTGCGGTCGAGGTGCAGCCCATCAGACCCGGCGCCAGCTTTGAACATTGGGGGGGGAGGGGGGGGGAGGCGTTCACAGAAGAATGTGGCATGAGTGTTCGCTATTTTTTTCCGAGGCCTGTCCGTACCCCTCTCGGGCGTCCCCCAAGCGAGGCGCGGGGCCCGCCCGGGGGCGGGGCCCGCAGGGGCGGGGAGGCGCCCCTCGAGGGCTCCAGGCCGCGGGGAGGAGGGCGGACCGGCTCGAGAGGCTCCCGGGGTCTCGGGGCGCTCTGGCGTCCCGGGCCCTGCCCTTTTCCCGGCTTCTCGTCCTGAAGGGAGCACTCTTCAGGCTTCCCTCCCCTCCTCCCCTCCCCTCCTTCCCCTCCTCCCCTCCCCCCTCCCTCCCTCCCTCCCTCCCCTCCCTCCTCCCTCCCACCTTCCCCTCCTCCCTCCCTCTAGGTCTCCCTCTCCCAGAGATGGGGTCGGAGTAGATGGGGTCGGAGGATCGCGCCGCGTCGCCGACGCATCGACGCTTCGGCTCGGTGTGGAGCCCGTGCTTCCCCGCGCCGACGTCGACGCTGCATTGGCGATGCATCGGCGATGCGCCGCGATCCTTCGACCCCATCTGCTCGGACCCCACATCTGGGAGGCCTCTGAGCACTGCGGTCGCACAGCTCCCCCCGCCTCCCTCCTCCGTCCTCTGGCCCTCTCCTGCGCTGCTCCTGGGGAAGGCTGCGAAGGGCGCCGCCGCCGCCGCTTCCGTGGGCTCCTGGGAGGCCTGGCGGAGCATGGGGAAACCCGAGGCCTGGCAGCTCCCCGGGGTGGCTGCGAAGTGCGCGCAGCCGTCGCCACTCTCGTGGGCTCCTGGGAGGCACGGCAGAGTAGGGGCGTGCCCGAGACCTCGCAGCCCCCCGGGAGGCTGCGAAGTGCGCAGCCGTCGCCACTTTCTTTTTGGGCTTCTGGGAGGCCCGGCGGAGGAGCGGAGTACCCGAGAACTCGCGGCTCCCTGGGTGGCTGCGATGTGCACAGCCATCGCCACTTTCTTTCTTGGGTTTCTGGGAGGCACGGCGGAGCAGCGGACTACCCGAGACCTCGCAGATCTTTGGGTGGCTGCGATGCGCGCAGCTGTCGCCGCTTCCTTGGGCTCCTAGGAGGTCCAGCGGAGTCAGGGGCCACCCGCATCCAGCCGAGGCCTCGCTGATCCCTGGGAGGTTGCGGCGTGCGCCATTGTCGTCCCTTCCGATGGCTCGTGTGGAGATGAGGGCCGCCCTGAATGTGCATATCTGGCGATGTGTTCTTCCGAATGGAGCGTTCGTACAGATGGTGGCCCCGCGTGGAGAAGGGGTTGGGTACGTCTCGGGTCTTTCGTTTTTTCGAGGCCCTTCTGTGTTGAGTTCTCGTTTTGAATATAGAGCACCGTGGTCTCCACTCCTCAGTCCTCCTCTCCTCCTCCTCCTCCTCCCTCCTCCTGCCTCTTGCGCTGCTCCCTGGACGGCTGCGAAGTGCGCAATTGTCGCCACTTTCGTGGGCTCCTGGGAGGTCCAGCGGAGTGGGGGGCCACGCGCATTCATCCGAGACCTCGCGGCTCCCTGGGAGACGATGTGCGCAATTGTCGCCACTTTCTTGGACTCCTTGGAGGTCCAGCAGCGTGGGGGGTCACGCGCACGCAGCCTAGACCTCGGGTGGCTGCGACGCGCGCAAGTGTCGCCACTTTCGTGGGCTCCTGGGAGGTCCAGTGGAGTTGGGGGCCACGCGCACGCAGCCGAGACTTCGCGGCTCCCTGGGAGGCAGCGACGCGCGCAGGTGTCGCCACTTTCTCGTGGGCTGGGAGGTCCAGCGGAGTTCAGCCGAGACCCCGCGGCTCCCTGGGAGGCTGCGCGATGTGCGCAGCGGCTGCCACATTCTTAGGCTCCCGGGAGGTCCAGCGGAGTAGGGCTGCACGCGTGCTCCCGGCCGAGGTCTCGCTGATCCTTGTGTGGTTGCGAACTCCTCCTCCTCCTCCTCCCTCCTCCTCCTCCTCCTCCTCCTCCTCCTCCTCCTCCTCCTCCTCCTCCTCCTGCGCAAAACTGTCGTCGCTTTCGTGAGCTCCTGTGAGGCACGGTGGATTTTTGCATTATTCTCACCACCCACCAGACCACCCCAACCCAACCCGAAGGGCCTTAACTTGCCCTCCATTTTCCAGTGGGGGGTGGTCGGGGAACAGTGCAAGCACACACATGTGGAACCCGTGCCCCCTCCAACCCGAAGTTGAGATCTTGGGTTAGGCTGGGGTGGTCTGGAAGGTAGTCATGTTCGAGCCCCCTCGTCCTTGGGGGGGAGGAGGTGGAGGAGGAGGAGGAGGATGAGGAGGAGGAGGAGGAGGAGGAGGAGGAGGAGGAGAGGTTTCT